CAATGCTTATCTTAAGTCACTAAGGGGTTCCCATAAACCTAATTAGCAGAATTCTTACTTTTACAATTTTTACACAACTGGACATAGTTCAGTCTTTTGGACACAGAGCATGATTTAGTGGTTACAAGCCTCTCATATTTTAGTATGTTATTTTAGACTCAATTATCTTTCCAACTAGGTATCACATGCCCCATAAATTTCTTATATGCTCCGGTTATCACCGTTTGAAGTTGGACAAGCAAAGCTGCCAGCCAACCTCAAACAGGGCACCAAACATACCCTACCATTTTTGCGATTCTGAGCAAACTACTGTATCATTTTCTCTCACCTTTTTATATAGTAAACTAGACACATTCAGCTTCAAATTGACATATCATGGGCCTAATTTAACCAAGAATTAAGGGAGAAATAATTTTTTCAAAACTGCCACCCGATAGTCCCCATGTGTAGGGCCAATTGGGCAGTCTTCACTCAAACTCGTCTACAGGTCTGCGCACAACTTCAATTGCTACCAAATTTTGACACAACGTAATTGACATCTCAATCTTCAAAATTATGTATTGCATGCCCATATTTAACCTCTGTGGAACGAGATATGCTATCCCAAAGTTAACTTCAAATCTGCCATTTTAATAGAAATTTCAACGACATCTCCTTTGTTTATTCAACATATCCCACTTTATCAAAAATGTGTTATTATGCCTCAATGATACCTAATAAACAAGGGTAGAACTCAAGAACCAACAATGTCTTGGTGCTCTTACAACCCACAATAATTTAACATATTCTCATCCATTTATGAATAATCACTTAATTTATCAAATCTTAGAATTATTACAATCACATTGTCCTATTTGCATGTATTCTTACAATAAACACATAATCATAACCTAAAATAGGCCTATTGCCCTTTCATCACATACATGATCACTTCGCCCAATGACCCACTCAGATGTAATATCAACAATGAATCATAACAATCAAAGAGGGATAAAGCAAGGGATTTAGTGAAGTAGGGATGCATAGGGAGTAAACATACGATGAAGCTGGAATGGTCAAGCCAAAACCATGCAACATCCGGCCTATTGGCCTCGGCATATAGCGTACGGACTCTCATCCAAGGATGTGTTCCCAGAACATCAAGCAGGGCACCCACCACCAATACACCTGAGACATTCGTAGAGTGCTCCTCAACGGATAACATCTCTATGATCCCAGGTCAACTGGAACTGCCTCCCGGAGACTTATTCAGTGGAAGTCTATAACGCCCGAAGGACACTATCTACTGGCCAGAGATACAGTACATCCTATGTACCCAATATATATACAAATGCATGAGCATATTATAACTATATCTTTGATATAAACCTCCAACCACTACCCTCAAGGGGCATGTTAAAGCATACACGGGGATTAACCCCAGTACTAAGGGATTACCTTATTGAAGCTCCCAAGCTAGGTAGCTCCAATGCAAGTCACACCTAAACTTGGTTCAACCAGAAATGCCACAATCCTATTTGAGTGTGTGAATAAGATCCTCAGGGGTGCAGGTCTTATGATGAGGAGGGACGTAGGTTTAGTCACATGATGACTAACCTATCTGAGTGTGTGAATAAGGTCCTCAGGGGTGCATGTAATATGCCTATAGCGACATTGGTTAAATATACCTGCAGTAGACTTGTTGAATATTTCGTCAAGAGATGTAAAAAGATCAAGAAAAATATGGCAAAAGGTAGGAGAATTTCGAAGTAGGTTGAGGATTGTAAAAACCTGCACCGTTAATTAAGAATTTAAATAATTAATTATGAGTTTGAGAAAATAATTCCATAATTGACTTGAATAAATATGGAAAGACTTAATTAATTATCAGAAGGGTTTAGTAATGCTGAAAGTTGCTTTTCTGACGAAAAGTGCAGATACCGGTTCTGTTTCACGGTATAAATGTGTACCGATGAAGTATCTCAAAATATCATAATAAGTGTATGAAAACTCCTAGAATAATATATAGGACTACTAAAACAAGTTTGAAGTCAAAATAATGAGAACTGGTGTCAAAACTGATACCGGCTACGTAAAAGCGCGTACCGGCAAAGTGCTGCGAAAAATAAAATAAAAATATGATAAACCCTAGAAAAATGGTTAGGTTCAGAATCCAAAGTTTGGGATTAAAATGATAAGCATAGCTATTAGTGCTAATACAGTGAGATTAAACTTAATGAGACTATAAATAACGATTGGCACAAATACCTGGGTCAGATTATCATCTTTCATACGTGAGTTTTCTGAAGCTTGGTTCAGCCATATTGTCACCCTTCTCCTCTCCAAGAAATCACTCTTCTATCCATGAAAATCACCATAGCTTTCATCTTTTACCTTCTCCATTCCATCTAATCACTAGGGAACCTTGAAAGCAAACACTTTGGTAGGAAAAAACCTCATCTTGGAGCCACAAATATTCTCCCCATGTGTGTTTAAACACCATCTTCATTTGTGAGAGCTAGAATCACCCCAAGCCATTGTAGAGTAGTCATTTGGCAAGAAAGAACCAACTTTGAAGAGCCAATTTCGTGCTCTTACCTTGGCAGCAGTGGAGAGTGGGTTGTAGATCATGAAGTCCCTTCCTTTTATTGTCTTGAAGCTCTTGGGTATATGCCTCAACACTTCCCTATGAAAATAACATGATTTAAAGATGTAAAATTATGAGTTTTGATAATTTGAACGTTGATTGATGAATCTAAGTGTTAAAATGCATGTTATGTCGATGGGATAGATGTATCTAGGTGAAAGATGAAACTTTAATTGGATAATTTCGTGCTAGGCTACTGTTTTTGGCCTCTGTCGCGAAATATCCGGATATGATATCCAGATATTGAGACAACAACGAACCTGTTTCGGTAAAAATTCGATATCTTAAGCTACAGAGCTCCAAATTGAGTGCCGTTTAGATCTATATGTAGCTAACACATAGGGATACAACCCTGTAAAATTTCTTATCCATTAGATAAGTGGTTTGATCTCAGTGTTAGTTTGAAGTCACGTCTTGGTTGCCAGAAATTCAGTTTGCAGCAGTCACTTTGTGAAAATCATAACCGGAGTTATACAACTCCGATTGAGACATAAAATACGTCGTTGAAAAGCTTGTGATGTCTAGTTTAACATATTAAAATCTATGAATTTTTGGTAAATATTTGCAACTGCAGTTTTAAAAATGGTAAGCGAAGTTTGTTGTCGTATTCGTAAATAGAGTTGAATTCTTTGGAATGTTCTTCAAGGAAATGAATTATAGAATCTATGGTACTTGTAAGAGATGTTCTAAGGTTAAGGGACCTTAGGGAGTGGACTTAGTTCCTCCCACATTTAGTTGGTGTCAATACGTAAAGAATGACTACGTAAAAGATATTACATAAAAGAATGTCGTAAACGAGTATATTTATTAATTTCCTTTATATCTTGAAATAGGTTGTGATTTTGTGAGGGCCTATGATTGTGGTCCTTTGGATACTGAGAGTTCATTGGAGCATGTTGCGGATAAGGTAAGCTTCTGATCCTCGGATTGATCTGTTACTTGTTCCATCGACCTCCATGGGAGGGTGGTTTATATGCATGGTATGCTTTTATGAAATTGATATATGCTTGAGATATGTGAATACGTCTGTTGATTACTTTCACGATCAGGCTGCGACCCTGGTGTGTAAGACAGTTGATGTAATGTATGGATGTGATGTTGATTACTTACACGCTCAGGCTGCGACCCTGGTGTGTAAGGCATAAGGCTGCGACCCTTATGTTTAGATAGGTCGCAGACGTGCATAAACCCTATCCTGTTTCCTGGCCAGTCGAACCGCACTTGCATACATCACATGAGATATGAAATGTTGTACATGATTTACTGAGAATTTAGATATATATTGTCTCGATTATATTGCTTTAACATGAACATGCATTGTATTTAGTGTTTTAAACTTATTATATACTTGTAAGTGAGCTTGGGGCGGAAGAGTCCTTGAGGACCCCTTGCCTTACTGAGATTTTTTTTAAGAGATCTCACCCTGTATTGGGCACATTTTCAGGTACTGAGATTGTTGATGTTGGTGCATCTCGAGGCAAAAGGCCAGAGTCGAGTTGTTGGCATGATATACATGTATTATGATTATGAAATATTTTGTAGCTGAGGCATGCTTAATATTGACAGTATTTATTATGTGCATTTGATGTGAGTATAGGGATTGTCTATGCCATATTGTAATATGCATGATGTATTGTTGTTGAGGATTATGTATTAATCATGTTGGTCCTTATTTTTGTAATATGATTTTCATGTGAGATGGCCTAAGTAAAGGATTGTTAGATGTCACCGCTCATGCATGTAATAGTTGTTTAAACACCATCAAATATGACAACTTAGATGCCTAGAAAGATATGAAATAGCTTAATTAAACCGATTACATGATGGTATGTCTTAGGTAAGGACAACTAAGCATAAGGTGAAGTAATATGGGGCAATGAGGTTAAATGCTAAACCCTAGCCTGTAGAGAAAGATATTCCATTTCGCCACTGTCATGGAATATCCGGATATGGTTGATCTAATATCCAAATATTGATATCCGGATATGATATCCAGATATGGCATATCCCATATCCGGATATGTCCCCGAAAAATATTCGGATATTCTGGGCGAACAGGAGTAAAAATGAATGTTTTAAAAGAAAGGCTTGTGACTTTATGGAACTTAAATATGTAAGGCTTAAACCCACTTCTAAGGAGTGTGGTTCCTTAATAAATATGAATGAAAAGGAAAATAGCTATAATAAATAATTTAGATGTGAACAGATATCTTAGGGTGTGTCTTTATTACATGTCATGGTTGACTAGATAATAGAAGAAATTGGTAACATTGTCATGAAATGAATAATTAATTATGTTGATGGTTAAGTATGACAATAAAATAATTAGTGGATAATTTTGATATCAATGGACATTACAAGTAAATAATTAACGATGATTATGATAATAGGTAAGTGTAAGATTAATCATGCAAATTGTAACATGTAGGATAAAGGAAAAAGTTTATCCGCATTTCTCACTTAGTAATTCTAACGTTAATTCCGCTGCAAGTAAGTAATATTAAGTTGCGCTTAATACCATTCTGATGTTAACAAACCAGGTATACACAGGGTGTTACAAGGATGCTATACAAAAAAAGATCAATTAACAGTGAGTCTCCGTGTACGGGTTTATGACAGGGATTTGGAATTGTTTGAGGTTGAGGACCCTTACAACCAATCTACACATGATGTTGGTGACATAATGAGGGTGGACTTGATCAATCGCAAATGTCAATATAGGAAGTTCACAACTAGAAGGTATCCTTACAGCCACGTCTTAGCAGTGTGCATGGCAGAGAAGTTGAACCATTACGATTATGTTGACCCTGTATTCTCCATTCCACACATTGCTAAGGTTTATGCTGCACACTGGTATCCGATAGGCAATGAGTCGTTGATTCCACAAGGCAATGGCCAAACCATTATCTCGAATGCAAATTTGGTTCACTCACAGGGAAGACCAAAGTCTTTAAGGATACAGAATGAGATGGATTGAGTAGAGTCTCAACCCTCAAGCAGTCATAGTAGATGTAGGCAGTAAAAGCAAGTTGGTCATAACATACGTACATGTCCAATGAGGAAACACAGACTTGAATTATCTTTTGCAATGAGTTATGTAATGAATTGTTCATGTATTGTGATTTGTATTGTAATGTGATGTATGCAAATTTTGTTCATGTATTGTTCATATATTGTGATTTGAATTGTTCATGTATTGAATGTTGGACAAGTGGCTTCAATACTCAAGAGGGGGGTGAATTGAGTTTTACAAAATCTTTTCGCAAAGTGCCTCCATTGATATTTTAAAGAGTATTTCTTCAGTAAAGTGATTTAGTAAGGAAAAACCTAAGTGTGAGAGCAAGTGTGTGAACAATAACGTAAGCAAGCAAATATATAAATAAATCTAAAAATGCAATTTCAATACTAAAGTAAGAGGTTTAAGGTTAGAGAAATTGCAAACTAGATGTATCCTGGTTCGGTCACCACCACCGTGACCTACGTCCAGACTAAAGCCGCTCGATCAATTCTTTTCACTAACTATCAAGCTTGAGGGTGCTTGACAAACCTCTACAACCTTTCAAGACTTCGGGCTCTTAATGCCTTATAAATTTTTTTACTCGAAATTTTCTTAGGAATTTGGTGACCTCTCAAGTGTATAGGGTCCACTCCCCTAACTATTCAAAAAATCAAATGGAGGTGTTTAAACAATGGCTAAGTACTCTCAAAGTACAAATAATACAAGTTGAAGAACTATGGGTATTGACACTCTCACAAGAATAAAGCTTAAAGATGATTTATGATCAAGATGATTGAAAGTAAGCAAATAATGTGAAATAAAGCAAGATAATGATCAAGAAGAGTTGTCCAATCAATAGAACAATGGTCTCAATTTATAGAGGGCCCCCAAGAGCCTTTGCACACCTATTTTCGCAAAACTAGCCGTTTATAGCCGTTGTTTTCGTCTTCTAGTGCAATAGGAATCGATTCCTAATAAGTGGGAATCGATTCCAAATGAGTGGAAATCAATTCCCAACTTTTCAGATGAGTGGGAATCGATTCCTGCTCACAAGGAATCGATTCCCAACTTCTTAGAAAGGTTGGAAATATGTTTATAATTATTTAAAAACCTTTTCAAACATGTTTTTATAAATGCGTGATGTTTATAATTTAATCAATTAAACCAGTGTTGTAAGCTATATGGATCTCTTTCCACGAGTATTTTTTGGTCCAATGAGTTTCTATACTCATGAACTCAGTAAATGTGACTTGGGGAAGGGATTTGTGGTCTCAAAATACATATATGCTTACATGATTCCCTAAATGTACGAAAATTGCTATTAAAGTTAGTTTCGATGTACCAAAACATTATTTAGTATTTTTAAATACATAAACTTGATTCATTTCATATGTACTCGTATATTATGACTAGTTCAAATCATTTGTTACGACTTCAACAGCATAAAACAAGTAGACATCCATTTCATTACATAAAAGGTTCGGTACATAAAGGAAATACACAAAATAAATTGCAAGAACAAAATAAATGCATATAGACATCCCTAAATCTTCTCCCCCGCGTCATCTGACTCAGTCTCCTCCTCCTCTTCATCTGACACATCAGCCCCCTCCTCAGCCTCTCGTCCTCATGCAATCTCTAGACGACCAAACCTTTCCTCTAATCCCTTGAATTGTCCCTGAATGTGCTAAAACCTTTCATTCCTCTTTTCTATGTGGCTCTTCCACCTTCTTTTCTATTTAAGCTCTAATTTACCTATCCTCTTAAGTGTGGCATTGATGCCTTTCATGACATCACGAAAGGAAAATTCACCCTCAGGCTCAACAATCTCCTCCATGTCAACATGATCATCCTCATCATCATCATCTGCTTCAGCCTCAACCATGTTTGCATCTGGGGAAACATCAGGGACCTCAATCTCACCTTGTATTGAGAATTGCCACACACCCTACCTATTCTTGGAGATCTTTCACTACTCCAATAGACGCTTCCCAAACTTGGCATTATAGCCTGTGCAGCTCTTCAGCTGGCCAGTGTCCATGGGAACACCAAAATACTCCAATATCCTCTGAACTAGAGAGGAAAGTTGAAGTGCACCCTTATACTTGGCTTTGACCATTATCGAGCAAATATAGTGCCTCCAATTCACCTGTACGCCATGACGGATAGCCCACATTATATGAATGTCACCCTTAAGCACCTTTGAATGATTGAAAGCTCGTGGCAACAATATATGGGTGATGACGTAGTGCAATATATGAGCATCAACACTAAGGGTATGCATGACAACCATTCTATTTCCTAGCACTGTTTATGAAAAGAAACAATTCTTTTCTATTTCTACGCCTTGGAACAGTTTTTGAGAAAAAAATTGTGTTTGATAACATGTTCTATTTTTATTCCGAGAATAGAAGTGTGTTTGATAACACAAATTAATATAATAAAATTAATTCCTATTAAATATAAAAAAATTTCGGATCATCACTTTTCGTTCCATATGGTGTGGGTGTGGTTGTGGTGGTGGTGGCGGTGCTACGGTAGTGGTGGTGGCAGTGACGTGGTGAAGATAGTGGTGGTGGTTGTGATGGCAGTGGTTGCGACGATGGCGGTGGTAATGGTGGCGGCAGCGGTGGTAGTGGTGGTGGAGGTGACGACAGTGGCTGCGACAATGGTGGTGGGTATGGTGGTTGGTGGCGGCAACAATGGTAATAGTGGCATGGTGGTGGTGGTGGTGGTTGTGAAGGCATCATGATGGTGGTGGTAGCGGTGGTGGCAGTGGCTGCGGCGATGGCGGTAGGTGACAGTGGTGGTGGTGGTGGTGGAGATGGTGGTAGTGGTGGCGATGGCGTGGTGATGGTAGTGGCACGGGTGGTGTAGTGGTGGCGATGGTGGTGATGGTAATGGATGTGACGATGATGGTGGCGGTTGGTGGCGGCGGCGGCGGCGACAGTGGTGACGACAATGGTAGTTGGGGTTGGTGACAGTGGTGGCGATGGTAGTGGTGGCGATGGGGGTTATGGCAGTGGCGTGTGATGGCGATGGTGGCGGTGACGGCAGTGGTTGCAATGATGGTGGTGGTGGTTGGTGGCGATAATGGTGATGGTGGTGGTGGTAGTGGTGGGGTGGTGGTGGCAGCGGTGACAGTACTGGTGGTGGTGGTGACGGTGGCATGGTGGTAGTGATAGGTGGAGGTGGTGGTAAATGGTGGCGGTGTCATCGTGGTGGCGAGGGGTGGTGACGACGATACTAGTGGTATGATGACGGCGGCGACGATGGTGGCAGCAGTCGTGTCGGGATGATGGTGGTGGTGGTGATGATGGTAGAGGTAGAGAGTGATTGAGAGAGAGAAATGTTTCTCATTTTGTGCCCGGGAACAAAAAAGCATAAATTTTCTGATTCTTTTTTTGTTCCCCAGCACAAAAATTAAACCGGTTCATCCCGGGAACAAAAAAATAAACTGGTTTTATCAAACGAGTTTCCTATCCATTTCTGTTTCCGGGAACAAAAATTAAAAAAGAATTGATTTCGGTAAGGTTGTCATGCACACCCTAAGCAATCCAGTAGTATAATGAAGAGTTCACCCACGTCTGATATCAGGCCTCCTCTATAGCATCACCCCACATAAATCTAGGAATTGCTAAATTGCTATTGATATGAACCTCACCAAGAATAGTGAGATCCAAGACCAATTTATTTTGGATCGTTTCAACAATCAGGAATTTAAAACAAAAATAAAGAACCTTGACCCGTTATCTATGGAAGATAAAAACCAAAGGTATAAGAAAGATAAAGACGCCACACTCAAGAAAGAAGAAGGTGAGTGATAAGTCTGGTTTGAACGCCACAAGAATAAGCTTCTTAATAAGTTCAGAGTTCTAGATAAGAACCAAAGAGAATATACCTCTCTATTATATTATAACTTCTAAGTCTGTTTACAAAGGCCTTAATCCCTCTTATTTATACTAAAAGTCTATATTGAAACATCCCTCTAAGAATAGGAAAAAACATATCACTTGGAGACAAGACACATCACTTGGGGAAAAGACACATCACTTGGGAAAAGATAAAATAAACCCACTAAATTATTATTACATTGATAATATCAACTCCACTAAGCTTTTATTATTTTGATGCTACTAATTCCACTCATCCTCCTTTGCATTGATGGCATTGACTAAATTCTGATTAGGATTTGATTTGGACTTGATGTCTTCATGATTAGTCCATAATTCTTGAATCATCCCACTAAGAGTTTTCTTAAACTTTTTGGCCCTTGATCTTGTGATTGGCCCATTTGAAAACTGTAATGGATCATTTTGTATTGTCTCCTTATTCATATCAGCTATCCACATCATACTCCATTGTGGAAGACCATCAAAGTCGTAGCCTAATAGCTCCAACCATATCAGAGCCGTCATGACTATGTCCAGCCCGTAGACGCGGGACCTTAGCTCACCTTATATGTAGTTGAGGTTATGGTAGAAGGCTCTCACCATAACCTCTGAATAGGGACACATGATCTCAGCCAACACGCTCAGATGTGCCCCCTCCAACACCGCTACTATGTCAAATCCTCCATCATAAAGAATTCTGTATCAAGTGAGTTCGGCTGACAAATGGGTCTGCTCATAAAATCTCGTATAAATGCAGCATGTCCCGAAGGATCATCTTCAAACAAATAGCCAAATGAGAGGTCCACGTAGAGGTGGCAAAGAGGGCGGCCCACCCCGCCCCGTCATCAACCCACCAAAAAATTAGCCAGCCCGCCCCACTTTTGAAATTGAGCTGAAAAACTCAGCCCGACCCGCCATTTTTGGCGGGTTGGCCCGTCAGCCCGAGCCTATTTTACACTGACCCATCTTGGCTCGCCATAAATCCGCCAAAAAATGAGCCAGCCCCGCTTTTGAGATGGATTAAAAAACTCAGCTTGCCTCACCCCATTTAGAGGGTGGGGCGAGTTGGTCCGCCGAGCCGAGCCC